TCTTTTCATCTGTAAGATGTTCATCTAAGATTGTTGTACAGATTCAGTGAGTTAATATGTGTAAATTGCTGAGAACAGGGCTGGGCACACAGTACGCGAGCTGCTGTTAGTGTTCATTTACTTGGCTGAATTGATTCTTTGTGGCTCACTTTTTAAAAAATACGTGTCTTTTCCCTGCATATGCTGGGGAATTTCCTCTACTTTATTTTCTAGTCTATGGAATTAAAAAAAAATTAAGTACTATATTTGTAATATTTAAGAGCTCTTATTCTCTAATTTTTCTTCATCTTTAATAATTTATTTTTTTGTTGTTGAAAATATACACAACAGAACTTATACCAGTTCAATGATTTACACGTATAATTCAGTGACATTGATAACATTCTTCGAGTTGTGCGGCCATTCTCACCCTCCTTTTCCGAATTGTTCCTCCCCCATTAAAATAAACTCACTGCCCCTTAAGATTCCTATCTAACCTTTCAAGTTGCTGTTGTCAATTTGATACCATATAGATAGATCTTAAAAGAACACAGTGTTCAAGGCAGACATTCTTTACTAATCCAGCTAAATTATTGTTTGGTTTAAAGAAGACTTTGGGAGATATTTTTGGTATAAGGTTTAAAGATTATCTCAGGGCAGTAGCTTCAGGGGTTCATCCAGCCTCAGTGGCTCCAGAAAGTCTGGATTCCATGAGAATTTGCAGTTGTGTTCTGCATCTTCCTCCCTTTTGATCAGGATTCATTTTTAAAACCTGATCAAAATGTTCCAGGTTGGTAGCTGACACCATCCAGTACTTTGGTTTCATGACAAAGGAGGCAGTTGTTCATGCAGGCAATTAGCCACACATTCTCTAGTTTTCTTTTTTAAAGTATCTTGCTTTTTTTGATGGGTATCTCTCCTAAATCCAAGGCTGTTCTGGAGTCCCCACCCCACCCAAGTTCTCTTGTGGTCTCCAAATTATTTGTTTCTAGGGGATCTTTCCTCCAGATGGGAGTTCTTAATGAATGCTCTGTTGGAATGGGGCAAATTTTGTTGACCGGCAAGTTCTGTTTAGGAAGTTGGATCCCCCAAATTCCTCAATGAGGAAAGCTTCTTGGGGGGGGGGCCTGGGTGGCACAAGAGGTTTTTGTTCAACTACTAACCTAAAGGTTGGCAGTTCAAACCCACCCAGAGGCTCTGGAGAAAAGGCCTGGTGATCTGCTTTCGTAAAGATTACAGCCAAGGAAACCCTATAGAGCTCAGTCCTGCTCTAACACACGGGGTCGCCATGAGTTGGAATTGACCCGATGGCAGTGGGTTTGTTGGTTGGTTTGACCCTGGGGACCAGTTTTCACACTGAAAGCTTCAGCTCTTCTCTCACAGCATGGAACCGTCTGGATTGTGACCCAGAGGGAGACGTTAGCCGCCCGTGCTGGGGCGGGTGGGGTGGCGGAGCTGTCCCCAGGGCTGCTCTTCCAGGTACAGCCTTGTGGTTTGGCTTTGTTATTATTATTATTATTAAATAGACTCAGCCCTCTGTATCCACGAGTTCCGCATTCGTGGCTTCAACCAACCGTGGATCGAAAATACTCGGAAAAAGGAAAAGAGCTCAAGCGCCTGGGGCAGTGCGGAGGGCAGCACAAGGCAAGACAGGCTCTGGCCCCAGGACTGTGTGTGCTGGGGGACAGAGGCAGCCGCACCCGACACAGTGTGGCTAAGTGAGGACACTAGCAATGGGGTTGCAGACTTAGGCCTGACCAAGGAGCTGGCGGAGCTTGTTTGTGGCAGAGGTCCTGGGTCCAGAAGGAGAGCACAGAGCTGGCAGGCCCAGGACCTAGCACTCTTTGCATCGTGTGTGTGCATGCACCCAGAGTCACCGAGGACCTCCACCTGAGGACCCCTGGCCCGGGGGGTGGCCTGCGGCAGGAGGCCAGGATGCGGCTGCCCCTAAAAGTGCCTGCTTTGATCAAGTGCCTCATGCGTCCACCTAACCTGGCCTGACCATCACTGTTCCGCTTCAGAGTGAAATCCTGTTCATGCCTGTGCTATGTAAAAACAAAACAAAAAAATACTACGCTGTTTTATGGGAACCCCGGTGGCTAAGAGCTACGGCTGCTAACCAAAAGGTTGGCAGTTCAAATCCACCAGGTGCTCCTTGGAAACCACCGTATAGGGTAGTTCTGCTCTGTCCTGTAGGGTCGTTATGAGTTGGAATTGACTCCACGGCAGCAGATTAATGGGTTATGCCATTTAATATGAGGGATTTGAGCAACTGCAAATTTTGGTATCCGTGGGGAGTCCTAGAACTAGTCCCCCGTGGATACTCAGGGACAACTGGAACCACTGGATATAATTCACATCAAATTCCCCCTTTGAACGAGGGCACTTCAGTGTTTTTAGTACATTCACAAAGTTGTGTGACCATCACCACTGTCTAATTCCGGGATATTTTTATCACCCCAAAAAGAAACCCTGTGCCCACCTTTAGAGGGGTCCCTGGGCAGTGCAAACAGCCGGGCTCTTGTCTACTAGCCGAAAGGTTGGCAGGAAGACGGGCTTGGCGATCTCCTCCCGAAAGGTCACCGTCTTGAAAACCCTGTGGGGCAGAGTTCTACTCTGACACACTTGAGGTCGCCAGGAGTCGACTCCACGGCTGCTGACAGCAGCAGTGACCCACCGTCAGCAGTCGGTCCCCATCTTTCTGAGCCCGAGGACTCTGCTCCAGGCCTTGCTGCGTTCTGGCCCCCGTGGGCTCTCACCTGCTCTGCAGCGCCCCCTGGTGGGGTGTGGGCTGCAGCGGCACTTCCTGTTTCTTGGCCAGCACCCCCTCCTCCACATTCTGCCTGGCAGGAACTTGGGGGTGCTCCTCTCCCCTCCCTCCCCTGTTCACTGTAACGGCTTTATCCCTGGTCGTATTTGCTTTGCTGGGTTTCTGTGGGCGCCGGCGGGACAGCAGGCAGAGGTGTCTGTGCGCTTGGTGTGCATGCTGGGCCCCAAGCCCCTGCTCGTACGTCAGCAGAGCATCGTCCCTCCTCGCCGTCTCCACGAGGACAGACATTGTCAGTCGTGTGACAGGCCTTTGGGGACAGAGTGAGCAAGCCAGGGCAGGGGCCCTTCCCTGACGGGGTCTGTCGTCTGGTCGGGACGGCAAGATAAGCCGTGACATGTATTTGGAAAGATAGAGCCCTGGTGGTGCAACGGTTAAGCGCTCGGCTGCTCACCGAAAGGTTGGGGGTTCAGACTCACCCAGTGACTCTGTGGGAGAAAGACCTGGCGATCTGCTCCCGTAAAGACGACGGCCTAGAGAACCCTATGGGGCAGTTCTACTCTGTCACATGGGGTTGCCATGAGTCGGAATCGACTCAGTGGCGTCCAGCAGCAAAAACAATTTGTACAGACCCGGGTGTCAGGTGATGTGCTCAGAGTGCTGGCTCTGGGCGCTGTGCCACAGTGGGTCTGGTTGCGTGCAGGGTCCTGCCGTCCAGAAGCTTCCAGTGTGGGGTGGAGAGACTGGGCCTCATGCAGAGATTGGGGAGGGGTGTGTTTAGACGCAGAGAGAGATGGCAGCGGGGCTCCAGGGGACTTGGAGGGAAGGTGGGGTTTCAGCAGAGGCCGGAGGGAGTGTCAGGAAAGGCACATGGGGCCAAGGCGGCTCGTACCTCCCTCCTCCCTCTGTCCTGGCGACATCGGACACCAGAGCTCCTGGCCCCTTCCCTGCTCCTCTTCCTTGGTGTGCACCCTGGGTCCTGGGCGAGGCTGACCCGCCACCCCTGCCCTTGTAAGGCCACTCTGAGCTTACCCCGCTTACTGTTTTGTTTGGACGGGTGTATGAGATCGATGGAGCCCCTGGGTGATGCAGATGGTTAAGTGCTCAGTTGCTAACTGAAAGGTCGGTGGTTCAAGTCTACCCAGAGGCATCTGGGAAGAAAGGCCTGGCAATCTGCTTTTTAAAAATCAGCCACTGAAGACCCTGTGGTGCACAGTTGTTCTCTGACACACACTGGGGGGCCATGAGTCGGGATTGACTCGATCGCATCTGATCTGGTTTTGGTTTATGAGCTGGAGCTCTGAGAGCCAAAAAAAAATTTTTTTTTTTTTTTTTAAGAAAGATCTTGCGGTATTTTAGTTTAAAAAAAAAATTATGTTCATCACATTTGATAAACCATTTTCCAACAATTCCTGGCCCAGTTATGAATTACCCTACTGGGTACAAATCCAGGTTTGTGAAGGTTTCACAAAGTGAAGAGAGTCTTCCCTGTCTCCTGTAGTGGTTTTCTCGGGGACGGAGGGGTGGCTGGCTGGGGTGGGGGGTGGGGATGGATGGCTCGGTCGTGAGTATTCTGATTATTTTCTTAAAAGGGGAAAACGGTATTTTCATATCACTTGCATAATGAAAGCACGCACTTCAAAACATTGGCAGTTTATTCCGGAGGATAAGATTATGGAGATTATCTTACTTGTACTTTGCTGGTTTTTTTTAAATTTCATCTTTCATTTTTGAGTGTTTTGAGTGTCTGGGGTTACCAAGGTGACTGTTGCTGTCAGGCCCTGAGGTAGAACCCAGAGGAGAAAGCCAGCGGAGCCAGCCTCCTCCGTTGCGCAATGTCTGAGTCCTGGGTTCGGGGGGTGGCTGGGTTCAGGTGCCTTGGTGGTGCGTACTGCCCTGGAGACAGGCCCTCCCGGCTCTCGCCATCACTCAAGTCACCCTTGGTGACCCGGATCAGCTGCACTCTGCAGCCCATGGCCGTCTCTGCTTCTCTGGCCTTTGCGTCCTCCTGGGCCGCAGGAGCAGATACCCAAGCGACATTGGCCGGTGCCCTCCCGCTCTCCTCCTCCGCGTCCCACTTCTGCGGCTCTCTGCTCCTCCTCTTCTCTGTGCGCCCTTCTGTGTGGCATTCCGTGCCCTGGGGAGAGCACAGCCTCCTGAGAGGCCAGCGGCTGCAGCAGGGAGGTGACTGCGAGCCTGACCCAGCCTGTGATAGGGCAGGAAGCTGATGGATGCGTTTTCCCTTTCTTTTTAGTGTGCAAGGAGCCCCCCTACAAAGTGGAGGAGTCGGGTTACGCTGGCTTCATCATGCCCATCGAGGTGTACTTCAAAAACAAGGTAGGACCCTCAGTGGCAGCGAGGACACTCGCCCCGGTGGAGACACATGGGGGCAGGCACCTTTCACACGAGGAGCTGAGCCTGGCCCATGAGGGAGGGGAGACGCGCTCTGAGCACTAGTGAGCAAATTCGGCAGAGCCAGAGCCACGGCACACGGGCTGGTGGCTTTCCTCTCGCGGCGGGAGGGGCGCTCTGGCAGCAGGAGGTGGGAGTGCAGATGGATCTGGCTTTTCTTGAGGAGTCCTGGTGGCACAACAGTTAAGCGTTTGGCTACCAACCGAAAGGTTGGTGTTGGAACCCACCCAGCAGCTCCACAGGAGAAAGGCCTGGCGGTCTGCTTTTGTAAAGATGGCTGCCTAGAGAACCCTGTGGGGCGGTTCTAGTCTGTCACATGGAGTTGCTAAGAGTCAGAATTGATTTGACTGCCGCTAACAGACACAGAGCTTTGAAGGATGCACGTGGTCCCCGAGGGGGCAGTGCGTGCCATGACAGGGCTGGTCTGTGGACTGTCCCTGAGGCCCAGTCATGGCGTCACACGGGGCGGTGAAGTTTCATTGTCCTGCAGTGGGGGATTGTAGGTAAATGTGTGGTGCCTCTTCCAAACGGAATATTTGATGACCTGGGAGAAAAGCTTATAATGCTGAATGAGAAACAGCAAGTCATTTGTCTTTAGGAGTCCCTGGGTGCTGCAAACGGTTAAGTGCTTGGCTACTAGCTGAGAGGCTGACGGTTTAACCTAGAGGTACCTTGGAAGACAGGCCTGGCAATCTGCTTCCGATAGGTCACGGCCTTGAAAAGCCTGTGGAGCAATTCTCCTCTGCACACGTGGAGTTGCCATGAGTTGGAATCGACTCCACCACAACTGACAATAACAATAACATCTGTCTGTCGTGATTTATAGAGGAGCCCCGGTGGCGGAGTGGTTAAAGAGCTTGGCTGCTAACCAAAAGGTCAGCAGTTTGAATCCACCAGCTACTCCTTGGAAACCCTGTGGGGCAGTTCTACTCTGTCCTTTAGGGTTGCTATGAGTCGGAATCAACTTGACGGCAACGGGTTTGGTCTGTTTTTATTATTTATAGAAGGACCCCTGGTGGTACAGTGGTTAAGCGCTTGGCTGCCAACCCAAAGGTCAGTGGTTCAAATCCACAAACTGCTCGGTGGGAGAAAGATTACAGTACTGCTCTGTCCTGTAGGGTCGCTATGAGTTGGACTCAACTCGACGGCAACATGTTTGGTAACTTTGGTATTATTGTAGAAAGAGGAATGAAGTGCAGCAAAAATGTTACCACAGGTGATTTGGGTGGAAGGATTACAGGGATTTTTATCTTCTTTTCCTCTATCTGTATTTTCTAAACATTTACAATGAGCATTTATAATTTTTGCTTTAATCCCAATAATTGAAAACAAACTGTGCCCCCACCCCACTCCAGAAGCTGGCCTCTGCTCCTCCTCGCAGGCACCCTCGGGGCCAGTGCTGACATTTTGGCTCCGAAGCAGCCTGGCCCTGATGGACACTGTTCCCTGTGCGCTGCCTGCCTGGCCTGGCAGCTCTGGCCGACTTTCAGGAAGCAAGCCCCACGGGGGGCCTGGGAGTGGTCCGCACTCAGTTAATGAGTTCCTTGTTTAGAGCTGGCCATGCTGGAGACACGTGGCAGGAGTCACCTTGTTTCGTAAGCTGCTAATGACCTCTGGGAACGGTGCTCAGGTGCGAGGCCCACAGGGCACCAAGCGGCGTTTCTGTGACCGTGGTGCAGCGGGATCTTGGGTGCTGGGGCTCCGGGGGCTCCAGCGCAGCGAGATCTTGGGTGCTGGGTCTCTGGCAAAGCAGGAACTCGGGTGCTGGGTCTCCGGGGGCCACAGTGCAGCAGGATCTTGGGTGCTGGGTCTCCGGGGACCCTGGCATAGCAGGATCTTAGGTGCTGGGTCTCTGGGGGCCCCGGTGCAGTAGGATCTTGGGTGCTGGTCTCTGGGGCTCCCTATCACAGGAGACTGTACTGTGAGGCTGTTGTGGAGTTGGGGCCAAAATGGTTGGGTGACCGTCCCCTGCTGAGGAGAGAGCCAAGCATGTCTCCTAGACCCTGTGTCTCTGCTGCAGGGCGGGGGGAGATGCGGGGAGCAGCCCTTCCTGTGCTGCCCCTGTGTGGCTGGTGCCCAGAGCAAGCAGGGGGCAGTGTCCTGGCCAGGGGTGGCAAGGCTGGGGGTCTCTTGACGGCTGGGAACGCAGGCTTGGGGGCAGGTAGGCTGGCACGGAGTCATCCGGTCTCATCTCTGGTGGGGCGAGTCCCGTGGTGGGTCTGCATCCCACCTCTCCAAGTCCCGTGGTGGGTCTGCGTCCCGCCTCTCCGAGTCCCGTGGTAGGTCTGTGGGGAGGGAGTAATAACAGCAGCCCCCTCGTGGGATTGCTGGGTGTGCTATTCTGCGCAAAGCCCTCTGCCTCCAGTGCAGGCAGGTGTTCTGTGGTGGCCAGAGACCCCAGGGCAGCCCCCCCGAGGTGCAGGACAGTTGGGGTTCCATGGGCCAGGGAGGCTTTGCTCCCCGAGGCCTTCCTCTCCTGGGAGCTGCCTGGAAGCCAAGTCTGCAGCCCAGTGGGCACTGCCAACCCCCCATCCCCAGCATCTCCCCGAAGGCCCCTCCCGACCGCGTCTGCCTGGAGGGGCCCCCCCCCGCGTCTGCCCTGAGGCCCCTCTCCCGGCGTCTGCCCTGAGGCCTTAGCTAACCCGAGGGGTGGGACAGTACCAGGAAGGCTGGCTTGGAGTCCAGGGCCCTTGTCCTGACTTAAGGGATCCTCGCTGGTCTCAGAGGGCTGGCGAGACTGGGCTCAGTCTCTTCTCTGCGAGATGGAGGCTCCTGCTTCAGCTGGGCTCTGGTTGGGGGGTGGCCTCCACATCCCATGCATGCTATCTGCTGTCCCCAGGCCCTGCAAGCTGGATGGCAGGACACTGCCCAGTGTCTTTGTGTCCAGGCAGAACACCCGGGACTCTGGAGGATAGGGTGGTACTGGGTGTTTGGGGCCAGAGAGGCAGTGGCCACCCAGGCTTCACTGTCCCACCGCCAGCAACTGGCCTGCCAAGCCCGCTGCTGGAGCCCCAGCCTGAGCGCCCGCTCCTTTCTGTCCCATGCAGGCAACTGCCCTCAGCCAGGGGCCCGCCAGGCCTGTGGGATGGGTCATGCCTGAAGCCAGACGCCCGCCAGGGTGAGAGCCCTGGTCAGTGGGAAGGGGCCGCTTCTCTGCCACCCTTGGTTTCATTTTATTGTTTGGGCCGTGTGAGGTCACGTTCCAGGGGGTACCCGGGGGTGAGCTGTCATCGTGTTTGTAGACATCTTGTTCCGACCACCCGTCAGAGGCTGCCAGGAGCCTGTGGAGGGAAAGCAGCGCCTTGGAAACAGGCCCGTCCGTCTGCTCGCATAGCAAGCACGTGGAGTTCGGGGCCTCCTCAGGGCTGGTGGCTCCGTGGTGGAATTCTTGTCTTCCATGCGGGAGACCTAGGTTCAATTCCCAGTCAGCGCACCTATGTATAGCCACTACCCAGCTGTCGGAGGAAGCTTACATGTTGCTATGATGCTGAACAGGCTTCAGCAGAGCTTCCAGACTAGGGTATACTAGGAAGAAAGGCCTGGCGATCAACTTTGGAAAATCAGCCCATGGAAATCCTGTAGATCACAACGGTCTGATCTGCAGCCGATTGTGGGGATGGCACAGGACCGGGCAGTGTTTTGTTTTGTAGTGCATGGGGTTGCCATGAGTCACGGGCTGACTTTACGGCAGCTGCCCCCTCCCCCTGGCTGGACACAGGTTTAGAGGCAGGATGGGGCAGAGCACGTTGGTGCTGCTGGTTCACTCCTAGTTCTCGCCCTTGTTCAGTGTGGGGAACCCTCAGGCTGGTCACAGGCAGGCAAACCCCTGGTGTTATGCAATGGAGACCACCCAGTAGGTGCCACCTGGCCTGCTGCGGCAGAAGCCGTCATATCAAACCACCCCGTCTGCTGTTCCTCGCAGCCCTCCCCTGAGTTCGGACTTCAGGCCCGTTCCTGCCCCGAGTTCCCCGAGGTTCACCCACTACGTCCTGCCCCTTGTTGTCGGGCACTGTCCAGTCAATCCTGACTCATAGCGACCCCAGGTGACGGAGTAGAACCACCCCATAGGGTTTTTTAGGCTGTTGTCTTTATGGGAGCAAATTGCCAGGTCTTTCTCCCGCAGAGCCGCTGGGTGGATTCTAGTTGCTGACCTTTCAGTTACTGCTGCACTGCCTGGGCTCCTTGAGGTATGACTTCCGTACAGTACATCTCTCCCTTTTTAAGTGTGTCCGGTTTTTGGAATTCCAGCGTGTGTTTTCATTTGAACCCTGTTGGCGGGTAGCCAGGTTTTCTGTTTTAGAGGAAAAGAGTCACATTCCTGGGGTGTACTTGTCCGTCTGCTCCCTCGGGGACCATCTGGCTGTGAGCCTGTTTTCAGGATCTTAGTGTTGTCCCTGTTCACTGCGTCTCTGTTCACTGGGAATCCGCTACTCCTGGTGGTCGATTTGCCCCCAGAGCTGCAGAGGGCCCTGCACCGAGAGAACCCGGGAGGTGCGCCCCAGCACGGAATGTTCTGTGGTCCACTGTGGTGTGTGTGCTAGGCGCCCGGCACTGTGCTCAGTGGGTCCTGATTTATTCTTAAAACAAACGCCACAGGAAGGTCACCTCCCCAGTTTATGGACGAAGGAGCACCTGGATACTTAGTCACTCGGTCAGGGTCACAAGGTGACTGTTGGAGCTGGGATTTGAACCAACACGGTGTGTGGTCGTGTGTGTGCAGACACGCCCATGGCTCATACCCGAGCCAGGCATGGCCTGGAATGACAGCACTCGTGAATTCTGGTTTTTACTCACGTCCAGATGACAGGGACAGAGGAGCCCTGGTGGTGCAGCAGCGGTTAAGTGCTCAGCTGCTAACCAAAAGGTCTGTAGTTCCACGGGAGGAAGACCTGGCGATCTGCTTCTGTAAAGATTCCGGCCTAGAA